CTGGCAGGCGGCGCGGCCGGGGAGGACCGCGGCGGGCGCCCCGCTGGGCTCCACGCGGGGTTCGGGGGAAGCCGGCCCGGCTCCGGCGCTGCGGCTCCGCTCCCACCGGCGGGGCGGCCCCGCTGGGCCGAGGCGGAAAGTTGCGGGAGGGTCTCCGCGCTGTAAAATTAAGAGCGGAGGGCAGACACAGGCCGGCGGGCAGTTCTTCTTCAAAGTAAGAGTTTTCCTGTCTCTGCTCCCTAGATTCCACAGTTACTGCCGTGCACATCAGCTCCTAGATACGCTTATCAGACGTACACATCTACAGGTATATGCGTGTATACACGCACATCCGTAGACTAAGCGCTCCGCATCGGCCATCCAGATGTATTTTTTTTCCTCTCTAAAGTGAACTAATGCAGACAGAGGTGCAGAGGACGAGCTCCGAGCACCCTATCTCGCAGTAGCAGCAATACGTTTGTTAAGTAACGCTCAGTGTAAGAGCAAAAACAAAGACAAGAAGGTGGTGAAGTTAAAGATAGTATTTTAGAGCTTCTCTGGGAAGCAGCAGCACCGAAAACAAAAAGTTTAACGAACAAATGCAGTGAAAGGAACTTGGAAAAAATTGTGTCCTAGATTCACATTATTAGGTCAGTAACACGCTGAAATTATTCAGCCACTTCAGTAACACCTTTGATGTGAAGCAAAAAAGTCTGCTCCCTTATAATACCAGGTGTTTCTAAGTTTATCTCCTTATAGCGCATTATTACTTGCCCAAATATGCTTGATCGAGAACTCCGGTGAAATCCACCAGAGCAAATGGAAGTGACGATCTCATACTTTGTTCAGTTTTCTAAGTAATGCAACCATCCTTTAATTTAAAAAGGAAAAAACAAAAAGCCCAAAAGAAAACCCCGAAAAAACCCGCAATTACAAACCCAAACAAAGTCCCCTTTCCTCCCCAAAACCCCGCAAACCAACCCACCTCGTGAACACTCACTTTATTCTTTTCCTTTACTCCTTACACTTTAAGGAGCCCCTGTATTGATGAAGCGCTACTCAGAATGATATGGGGAGTTCTCATTGAATCAATTCAATAAGTCATGTACGTTCACTAAAACCTGCCGTGTCAATTCACTTGCTAAAGAAGTACAACTACAAAGTAATTTAAAATTGCTCCAAAAGTCCCGCTGTGTTTAGTGAATAGGAATATTTTTGAGAAAAAGTTAAAATCTTATTCAGATATAGTTGTTAGCATGAGATGTGGAGCCAGACAGTCAAAACACACTAAAGTATCTTGGAAAATATTTTTAGAATATACATTTTCAACCTTTTTCCGTTTCTATACGCCAGCTCAGGACAGTAGATATACACCGTCTTTCGAAAGTGATGCATTCGGCTATTTGCAAATGTTTTTCCTTCTCAATCTGTGTCATGGTAAAAAAAAAAAAAAAAACAAAAAACAAAAAACAATTTCCCTCTTCGCCCTCCCTCTAACAAAAGCCTTTACATCGAAGATTAAATGTCATATTTTACATTTTCATTTATAGGCTTCCCAAGAATTTTTCTGTGTCGTAAGTTGTTTTAAGCTTCAAAACGAATTTCAGTTCTTTTTACATCAATACATCTTATACACCATCTTATTTATAACGCTGACCATAAGCCTTTGAGAGAAAGCCATAGGATATAGAAAACTTTGACCTTACCTGCTCCCTAATGTGCTTGCAGCCAGAAAAGAGTGGAGGGGGGGGGGTGGGAAGAAAAGTAATTTCATATTATTCACCATTTTGCCAGGGACAGTCGTCTCTCTACCTCACAGAAGCAGCCGCACTGGGTCAGATGTCTGTACACATTTGATACATATAAACAGTATTTTCATTAACTTAGAGTTTTGAGGGGCTTCCCCCCACCCCCCCGGCCCCCCCTCCCCCCGTTGGGGATCATGAGAGGAACAGCGGGTCAGACAGAAAAAAAATTCTCAGCTTTGCTCCCGACATGGCTATGGAAGGACTTAAATTCTTCAGAAGTCACTCAGTCTTTAACTCTAGATCCCCTTTGTAAAGGCTAAAGGCACCGGTCACGAAAAGTTGGACAGGGGCTGCCTTCCCGGCGAGGACCCTTTACCTGCGCTGCTCTACAAAACTCCTAAAATACTTTTTTTCCCCTCCCCTCCCAGCCGTAGCAACTTCTCTTGGTGTCATCTCAGGGCTGTCTCAGATTACATTGTTTGGGATCTGCACTTTCAACACCGTCTTAAGGCCCTGCACTGCCTTTTGAAGCGAGATGCAGGCAGTGTACTTTTGGATCAGCCCGCCATCCCTTGCCGCTCCGTAGGTACGGTGACACCGCACCGCGCCCGCCCGCCGCTACCGGCACCGCAGCAGAGCCCGGGCCAAGCCCTGCCGCCCCCGGCTCCCCTGAGCGCTTCCTCCCGAGCATCCCTTTTGCTAACAGACTGCTGTGAAACAAACAAAAAACTCAGTAACCCACAGCCCGTTTTGATACGGAGCAGCCCATATGAAAAAGACTTTTGCTATTGTTGCTGTTGCAGCCATAGTAGTGATATGGTTTTGTTACGGTTTGGGATTTTTTTGTTTTATCTGGGGTTTGTGTTTCGTTTGGGGTTTAGTTTGGGGTTGTTTTTGTTGTTTTTACTGTTGTTGTTTTTTATTTCTTTTTCTTTTTCTTTTTTTTTTTTTTTCTCCCACAGCCTGCTGTGCCACTTCACGCACACTTCATGAAACTTAAGAATGAATTCCTATTTACAGCAGGAAAAAATGCCCTCCGTGATTCTCCTACACTTACGAGCAGTGCCAGGCAGTGGGAGAGTGGGAGGGAATAGCCATTCTTCACTAGATCCTTTTATCTCTCAAAATACGGGGTGCCCATGGTCTAGCGTGGATAAAGCAGTTATATTGGGAAACGTGAATCTCTTCCATCATTTCAGATTTGAATCATGTTGCCCCTCCCCTTTGCCATGCCATTATCCAAGTTCTGCATTGATTACCGGGAGACTGGAAACCAGCATATTGGAAGAAGCAGGAGTTCAGACGGAGGAACATATTTTAATTTCAATTTTAAAAAGCTATACAGTAACTATGTTCTCATGAGTGTTCTCAAGGGAGACTGGAGACTAAACCGTATTACACCCCTCCCTTCAAATATCTTCATCCTAATCAAGGCATAACTAGTTTACTGAAAAAATATATGATAAAAGGCAGTATCACAATGTCATAAAAAAACTCTATAAAATTGTTAAAGAGCAGTTTGTTTGCATTTCTCCTGATTGATATGTAAATACAGTTTGAACTGTGTTTGCTCGGTCTCTAGTGCTTAATAAAGAGATGAATTCACCTTTCTGTGGAACAAGTAAACAGACTTTAAACTAAGCCGACATCAGACAAAGTGGAAACGAGTTTATTTAATCGAAACTAAATCTAGTTTAAGAAAGATAAGTCAGTGTACATAATAATCCATTACAGTAATTACACCCACCACCAAATATGTGTTTATGAGGTTGTCGAGACACAATAAAATTACTTTATTTCCCCCGAAGTCTATAATGAAAAGTCACTGACTGGATCTCTATCAAACATGCTAACTCCAATATGAGGGGGCGGGGGCTGTAATATTTCTCGGCTGTATTAATGCCTTTCGGTGCTCCTCACTTTTGAACATTCCTAGGTTTGTAAGAACGCACATTAATTACGTATGAGGGGGAAATGTCGACTTAAACGGAACACTTTTCCCTCGGTCTTGCGTATAAACTCCGGGAGAAACTAACCCTGATTTTGAAAAATTCCTTGAAGTTAACCCTGCTCTCGCTTCCTCCGCGGAAGCTGGCAGCTCTGCACCACGGTCCAGGAGTCCCCAACACTTTCTTCTTTTAGCAGAAATAACAGCACTAAGCTCCAGACACTCTGCCGCTCCCCCCACCCACCCCCCCGCCATGCTTAACACGATGCTATAGATCTGAAATGAATATTCTGAGCAGAAGAAGGACAAAAAAATTTTGAATAATCATTAGGTTAGTTAAGAATATCTCTGTATAAATCAGGACATAACCTAAAGAATGAAAGGTCTCGAAATTCCTGTTGACACACGTGATGTCCTCCAGTTAGTAATAAGGGGGAGGGGGTCGGAAAGAATCCGATACTTTTTTTTTTCTTCCGTGTACTTCCCTTTTTCTCCATCCAGACTAGCACTTGGTGTCCGACTAACCTCGGCTATCTTGTATAAATACAGAACCGGAGCTTTCAAAAGCTGCTACTTAAATTGGAATTTGGGTTGTTTCCATCCCAGGCAACCTGTTTTCTTTCACTTCAAAAATATTATTATTTCGTAACCCCTCTGTAATTCAGAGTTGTTTCAATGACTGCGGTCGCTTTTTATGGAATTGGGATAAAAACCGAAACCGAGCAGCAGATGCAAAGGAAAACACGCTACGAGGTCTTTTAGAAGGGGAATACTTCTTAATTTGCTACATTCGCAAAAGGGATATTTGGGACCTGAAAATAGAGAATTACGGGGATTTCGGACTCGTCAGACACGAGCTGTTTAGCTTCATATGCTTTCTATATTTACAGGAAAGTTACCGTCTAACCGCTTTGCATTACCGATAGTATTTGCCTTCTGTGTCTAAGCCCGGCGCGCACCTCTGCGGACCCACCCACGTGCGCGCACACACTTTCTCCTCATCCCCTTCTTTACAACTTTCCAAATGGCTCCGCAAAATAACCCCCAACAAACAAACAAACAAACAAGCAAACTAACAACCCCCCCCTAGAAAAACAATGCGACACGAAAAAGAGCACCCAATCCCAGCCAGCCGCGGCCCGTCTGTGTGCCACCGAGCCGCAGCCTGCGGCTGACCTCCGCCTGAGGAGTGGGGTGGGCTGTGCAGGGGAACCTGCGTGCCCGTCAGCGGGCGTGTGCGGTTGGATACGTAGAAAATTAAATATATGGAAATGTAGATAATTAAACACAGCCTGATAAAGAAAGTTAATTCAAACTTCATGTTGTACACAATAAACTATCTTTTTATTTTGATTATAAATAAGGTGACTGTACTTCCCTTAAAATACAAGTACATAGGAAAACCTGGTAGAAATTATCTTTCTTTTTTTTTTTTTTTTTTTTCTTACAAGGTATTAAAACTGGACACTTTAAATTGGACTCACGTTCTATACTGACAGCAGGTTCTTCACTATTTTATTTTTTTTTCTAATGGCGTTAGACTTTTACCTTCTTTCTCCTCCGTGCCTTTGGCATTCGAATTTCTACTCCCGGAATACTTTTCTTTCTCTAGCAAGAAGTCGCTGAGGTGCCCCCCGCCCCCACCCTCATCCCCCAAAAAATAATCGGGCTAATGAATTTGGACTTGATTCCTTCGGTTTCGAGTTCGTGAATCCCAAGCGTTTGCTTGTCCTGTTTGCACGCTGAGGACTGATCCTGTATCCCGTTAACCCTCTGGCATGGCTCTCCTTTGGGAATAGGGTCTGGGCCCTGGGAGGGGCATGGGCCTTCCGGGGTCTGACAACATCCCGGGTTGTTTTTCCACCAAGAATAAAAAAAAAGAGGGGGGCGGAGGGGGGAAATGGGGGGAAAAAAAGGAGGAAGATGTAAGGAAAGGAGCGTCGGGAGGGGAAACCAAAGGGGGAAATAAAAAAGAATATTCGTAATGTGTATAATTTATTAGAAGCTTCTTAGGAACTATATTTAAGCCAAATATCTACATAAGTTACAACAGGAAAAGGCGGCGTGCGCAAATAACAAACTGCCGGAGGATTTACGACGGGATGATCAGTGTCCATAAAAAAGGTGGGGGGTTGTTTGGTTGATTGTATTTTTTTCCTTTTCTTTTTACAACAAAATATACAGGCTACTAAAAACTATGGGTTTAGTCCAACTTTTGACAGCATTATACAGCTACAGGTTCACATCAAACGTAAGGAGGAAAATAAAAGCCAAGCCTTTGATGACTCCACGTCTCCATCCGCTGGCCCTGGCGGCGGGCTGGGAGAGACCGGGGAGGGGGAAGCTGCTTCTTGTGTCTGGGTGACGCGAATGCGTATTTTTGGGGGGAAAACCACCCCATCCCCCAAAATCTCTGTATTTACATGCAAGTCCTAGACGCTGGCAAAGTGTACATCTGATATCCAAGTCTTCAAACCATGCCTTAAGATGGTCCCCTTTCTGCAGACTGCTCCATGGTTATTAGTCTGAATATTTTTATACACCCCATAGGACAACTCTGGGGGACAAAAACCATAAAGACCCAAAACCATCAACAGTAACAATAAAATGGAACAAAAAAAGTCTCTCTCTCTCTCTCTCTCAGAGGTCCGCAGAGACCACTCAGTAAAACGGGGGAAAGGGAGAACAACATTAAAAAAAAAAAAAAAAAGAAAAAAAAAGGAAAAAAAAAAAGAAGAAGAAAAAAGCACACAGTAGTTTGGAGAGGACAGAGATTTGTGTAACTGGGAAAATTTGTTGATTTTCTTTTTCTTTTTGCCTTTTTTTCCCCCTTTTTATTTGTTTAATCCTTTTACCAGGTCCTACCGTATAGTAAGGTGGAGCAAGACATGGCAGTGCCATAGTCAGAAGTAGAAGAGTTTAGGTGAGACAAACTGGAGACTTGGCTCTGCAGAGAGGAAGGGCTGGCCGAGTGCTGTCCCATGTCTGGAGACTGCCCCGCACTGTTTGTCTGGTGGCTCTGATGCTGTCCGAGGCTGTTGCCATTGGTAGCCACTGTGATCGTTGTAGCTGCCTGCTGCTGATGGCTCTGGATAGCTGCTGTGGGTGTGTTGGAGCCTGCTTGGCAGGGCTTGCCATCCTTCACAAGCACTGGCACTGCCACCCTTCTGGGAGACTGCTGCTGCTGGCAGGAGCCGTTCTCCTGTTGCATCTGCTGCTGCGCAGCCTTGTCTTTGGCCTGGCGCTTCATCTTGTAGCGGTGATTCTGGAACCAGATTTTGACCTGAGTCGGGGTGAGATGTATCATGCTGGCTAAATGTTCCCTCTCCGGGGCGGAGAGGTATTTCTGTTGCTTGAAACGTCTCTCCAGCTCGTAAACCTGGGCCTGAGAAAAAAGGACCCTCCGTTTCCTCCGCGGCGTGCTCTGGAGCGGGGCCATGCTCTTGCTCACGTCTCCCAGGGAGCCGAGGCTGCCCATGCCTCCCATGTTCATGCCCGAGGACGGCGCCATGAAGCGGGAGACTGCAAGGGAGAAGGCGGCACGTTTTAGGCGGCTCGGCTCGGCCCGGCCCGGCCCGAGCGGGGCCCCGCGCTCCGGCAGCCCCCGCCGCCGCCTGCCCCCAGCGGAGCTCCGCAGCCCCCCGGCAGCCCAGCCCCGGCCGCGGCCTCGGGGCACCCGCGCTTCCGAACAACGACTCCTCACGTCCCTGGGGCGAGCGGCGGCCCCCTTCTCGCCCGGCCCAGCCCCGGTGAATGAGGGCGACCACTCACCCCTCGTCCTGCCGGGGGCACAGTAGGAAAGTACCTAATGTGACAGCCGCGGCGGCAGCGGCCGCGGACAGCGGCTCCGCCGGCGCCGGCCGAAGAGGACTCTGTCGCTCCCCTGCCGCTTCCCGGGACGCGGCCCCGGCTCCTCCGGCTTCCCCCCTCTCCTGCCCGGTGCCGGCCGGCGCGCAGGCGGACGGGCACCGCCGGCTCCCTTTGGGCCCCCGGGCCGCCAGGCTCCCGCCCCGCTGGACGGCGAGAGCCAGGCTCCCGCTCCCCGCCACAGCCGGGCTTCCAACCCCCTTGCCCCGTAAAAGCAGCCGCGGGAGGCTGACATGCAACCAGCCGGGGTGGAAAGACCGGGTACGATCCTGGGCAGGAGAGGGAATTTGGGGTTTGGGGGGCGCGGCTGGGTTTGAGACCGACTTTTGCCCTGTCGCGGACCCCCCGTGCCTTCTGAGCGCGGCGTGTCGGGGCAGTCGCGCGGCAAGCCCCCTTCGGCCACCCAGCCCCGAGCTGACTTACTTGAGGAAAAGCGGGGATCCGGGTTGGTGCCGTACCATCCTGTCGCCGAAGCGCTGTTCCTCATGGTGTCCTGGTAAGGCGGCAGCTCGCTCATGTTGCCCAGGTTCCCATTGCAATAGCCCCCCATCGTAGCATGGGAGAGCTGGGGGACCCCTGCCGCTGTCATATGGTAGGCGGCAGTCACTGTTCCGTTGTGGCCCATGGGGTGCTGCTGCATGGCCGGCTGAGAAACCTGAGACTGTCTGTAGGCTGACAGGGGAGCCCCCAAGTTACTGGCCTCCATGCCCACTTTCTTGTAGCTTTCCTCCAAAGGACTCAAGATGTCAGACACTGAGAAAGGAGTCGTATGCTTTGGGCTCATCGACATGATTCGGCGGCTGGGGAAAAAAAAAAAAAAAAAAAAGGAAGGGGAGGCAAATTTTTTTTTTTTTTTTTTTTTTTTTTTTTTTTTGCCAGATATTCTGGTGTTGCCTTAACGCCGATCTTGTTGGATGTACACGTAACCGAGTGGACGAAGTCCGCCTTAATTGGATTGAGTGGAGGCTCAGGGCTGCCTTTCGTTTGTTTTAGCCAGACGCCAGGTTTTAGGCTGCCACCAGAGGCGGGGCATAGGCACTAAAGCAACAAGACAATAGAAGCCTACATCTTGCCCAAGATAATTAGCTTACATGCTGATGACAAGGTAAACACCTTTAAGTCTTACTTGTCAGAATTTTTTTTATGTCTTTAGGAAAAAAAAAAAAAAGAGAGAGACAGAGAGGACGGGAGAGAGAGGAAAAAAAGAAAGAAAGACCCCGTGAGCACAACTCTTTTTTTTTTTTTTTTTTTTTTTTTTTTTTTTTTTTTTCCCCTCTGGGGTTACAATATCGTGGACGGGAAATGGAAGGCAAAGCAAAAAAGACCACCATTTGACTGGGTGAAAGGATTTAAAAACAGCTCCCGGGTGGCAAGGCTGTCAGCCCAGCCTTTGTGAGAGCTGGGGAAACGGGGTGGAATGCCAGTAAGCCAGAGGACAGAATCTCCCTCTTCCCCCAGTAAGTTTGGTCCGGAAGGAGCCCCGCCGCCGGGGGGACAACTCTTCTGAGGGCAGATCTTTCTCTCGGGGCCACAGCTCCCCGCGCCCCGCATTCCCCGCACTGGCTTGTCAGATGTCCCGGCCGGCTGGGGCTGAACAAGCGCTTGGGGTTTCCCATCTCGAGAACACTCTCTGTGTCTCCTAAGACACTCCGTGCAAGGATCGTTTGTCTCCCTAAACCCACAGATTCCTTTCAGCTAGGGATTTTTCTTTTTTAATATCTCAGAGAGGGGTGGAAGCCACAAGTTTGCAAAATCAAGCAGTAATTTAATTGCCTGGGACGAGAGGCCGATGAAAAATAGGTTAGCGCAAAATGTCGCTTGTTATTCTCAAAGGCAAAGACTCACAGTCTCTCGTGGTCCCTCTGAAGCTGAAGCTGCTTTCTAAGGTTATTTATACAGCACGGCAGCTGGATGGAGAAGACCTCTCCGGTCATCTGCTACACGACCTTGCCAATGAATTCCCTGTAGTTTCTAATAAACTGCAATTTCTGGCACTTTCGGATCCGTTCTCGGATCCGGTGTGAAAACAAAAGCGATCCATTCACAGCCACACGCACACGTACAGGCAGCCAGTAGCTAATGTCACTCGGGTCTTTGAAGAAATCTTCCAACGTCTGGTGTCTCCAAAGCTTATATTTCGGGGTGATCCTAGCGGAGGAGAGAAACCTCCCCTGAGTGTTTCACACCCCGGCCTACGGCCCTGGCAACCACAATTTAATACAGCGATTACCTGAATATTAAGAAAATTACAGCGAAGGTACAGTTAACCCAGGGACTTTGAAGTGTCAAGTAACTATTTAGTAATTGCACTTGTAAATATGTTTGTGCTCGGCTAGTTCGTGCTTAAAAATGCAAAAGTGCACTTGCTACCCGGGAATAACTAAATATCTTTGTCTAAAGTGGCAGCATAAATAGCCGGTCGCTTTGTGGCTGTGCTTGATATTAGTACATAAGGATCATTTTGCTTCAATTGGGAGGCTCTCATTCACTAGGCAAGAAACCGTTTAGGAGAAAGTAGGTTCCCGTATGAGAGTTAACATCCTTCAAGTGTAAGCCTCAGTCTTGATTACACTTTAGAGCTCTGCAAGAGGTGAGCTTTTCCACACAAATATAATCGGGGGAACTTTCCTTCAATCAGGCCTCCAGCTCTCTTACATCATCTCAGCTGCTTCTTTCGGCACTAGCTCCCTCAAGGCTGAATATCCCGAAGTGGGCTGGTTGTGAGTCTGCTGGGTCACCAAAGGCAGAGAAGGGCGACTTTGGACTAGAAAGGCGATTGGTTTTTACCTCTTATTTTTCTTCTTTTCTTTTAAAACCTTTAAATCTTTTCTTTACAGATATCTGGAACATTTTTTACACACCCCCCCCCCCACCTCCCCGCACCCCTCTCCGTCGCCCCGGATTTTCTCCTTTCTGCGCATATTTTTGAGTATGGTCTTTGGTTTTGTTCCCACACAGAGAGAGAGACTCGACCTTGCCTTAGTGGTTTGCTTGCTTGGGGTTTGTGGTTGTTTTTATTCACCCCAGATTTCTCAGACACTCCATCCCCATGCCTCTTTCGTGAACATTTAAAAGAAGGGGGCGGATGGAAGCGAAAAAAAATTAAATACTGCAGGATCCACCAAAACGACGGCTTGGTCGGTTTTAATCAGAGGCGAAAGGCGGCAAGTGACCGCGCAATTTGTGGGGCAGGAGCAGAGACCCCGTTCCCATCCACAAGAGAGCGAGGTGGGGCAGGCGGGCAGGCCCCAGCAGCAGCTCCGGCGGCGGGAGCGGGGAGCGGGGAGCGGGGCTCGGGCCACGCGGGCGGGCGAGGCTCCCCGCCGCCTGCGCCGGCCCGGAGCGCCGCCCGAGCGACCCTCCGGCCGCCGGCTGCGCCTGCCAGAGCTTATTTATCCTCTCACTCGAATGAGCGCAGGTTCAATCGCCTCGGAAACATTGCTTGCTTAGGTTATCCCGAGCGAGTCGGGCCTTGGCTCTGCGCGCGGTCTGCTAGAGGGAAGCTAATGCGAGAGAGCTCCGTTCACCTTTGCTGGGAAGCGGGTGAAACTCTCCTGTGCACGGCTGACCGCTGAGTTAGGAGTACACCGCCGCGCGTACGGGCACAGCCGCGTCCAGCTACTTTTTAGCCCGGCTGGATCGACGCGGTGTAAAGGAAAGAGGTCAGCCTCTGCACCTGCTTTCCTGCCCCAAATGAGCTATAACGGGGCAAGTCAGACCACGGACAAGGGGCGAGAAAACTTCGCTGGTGTCGCCTCCCTTCAGTCTCTCTTTTCTTTCAAGCCCTCCACCGAAGTTTTGTCTACCAGAGATGGCTGCTCCCAGCTTCCAGGGAGGGTGGCCGTCCCGACAGAGTCCTGCCTAAGCTGCCTTTAAAGAAATGTTCGTTTACCTGGTGATGCTGCTTAGTAAAACACTCGAGTTAAAAAGAAATGCTAAGGAGGAGAGCAAGGAAGATGAGATGCGTTCTGCCGGGTGGAAGCATTTTCATGAGAAAGGCACGGTTTTCACCCCGTGTTTGCAGAAATGCGGCTACACGGACGTCCCTTCAATAGCTTCTGACCCCACACAATCCTTTTGATAACACTCGAGAGGTGGAAGAATGGGAGACTTTGTCAATCAAATGGTGCCAATCCCAATGGAAACGGTGCCACCAAGACCGCAGAGCGTTTCCTCATCAACTGGATTGCGGGGGCTGGGAACTCAAGAATCAGCTTTTGAAAGTGCGCACAGGGCTCTCCAAAGACAACAATGTCTTTTTTATACGAGCTGCTGTGCCTCCCCAAGGGGAATCAGATACGTTCGGCCAGGCAGAGCTCGGAGGGCTCGTAGGGCAGAGGGTAAGGGTCCCACGCAAACCGCACGCAAATTCTTTCTCAACAAGAAAGACGTTTTCTAGGTGTAACTTTTTGATACAAAGCCATGAGGTGCTCCGTGCTCCCTCTGGATCAGTTCACGGGTGCACGTCTGGCTGCACCCCCTGCCCAGCCCTGCCGCCCCCGCTCCCAGCGCCGAGGAGGCGGCCCTGCCCGGGGCCGTACAGCCCGCCCTGCCGCGGGAGCGGCGCTCTGCGGCGGGGCCGGCCGCTCCTAGAGAGCTCCGAGTTGGAGGTGGCAAGAGCAGATCTGTGACAGAGCTCTTTCTTCGCGCCTGGTCATCAGTATAAGTCTAACACATTCATCGAGAGATGTAAATGACCACCTGGAAAAATGGCACCACCGAGGCAGCTTGCCGCAACTCGCCCCTCTCGACCCACTCTGAACGAGCACATACACCCTCTGTTTCCCCATGCTCCCCAGAATGGAAGATGTGTCCAGCACACATACGCCGGGAGAGGAGGTTTCCGTAGTGATAGTTCAGGGAGGACTTGTGTCTGTGCCGGCCGCGGGCAGGGCTCTGGGAACCGCTCCCGCCTGGAAAGCACATGCTTGGGCGTGTAAGAAGGCAGGAGTCCTCCCAGAGACGCACCCTGCGAGCCCTACCTAGGCACGGAGCGCTCTGTGTGTGTGTGTGTGTGTGTGGGAAACGCCTTTTGTGGCTCATGGGGACAATTCCTCTCTGTGGGAAAGCCCCCTGCCCTGGTTATCTCGTTAGAGTGGGAGAAAAACCTTCAGTATAGCGGGCGAAACCTCTCCCCCTGGCGTGGGAACCTAAGGCAACCAGCGAGACCACCAAAGGCTAAAGCGAAAATCCTCACCCCTCCGCAGAGCACGCACAGTTGCTCCTCCAGCTACCCAGGGCGTGGAGCATCTCGCAGCTGGGGGTTCTCGGGGCCCCTTCGCCGCCGGTGCCTGGCGGCCCCACTCGCAAAGCTCTGTGCGAGCGAGGGCAGCGTTGCCTCCGCTCAGCTCTTTTCCCTCTTTCCCCAGTTGCTGGAGGACGGCTGAGCTCTCCTGCCCTAGTCCTCGACACCCTCCCCGTCCTTTCCTTCGCCGGGCCGTTCCGGCCAAGAGGGCCAGGGTGGGGCCAGGTACGGGGTGCCAGGGCAGGGCTCCCGGAGCCGCGGCGGCGGGCGGAGGGCCGCCGTGCCAGGGCGGGGGCGACGGGGCCCCGGGGCACGCCTCGACCCGCCAGCCACACCGCGCCCCTCCGCGGCTGCCCGGCGTGGGGACCCGCGGCAAAGGGCTCTTTGTAGGCATGGGTGCCTCGGTAGTCTCGGGTGGATAGCAGCATCACTCGCCCCGATGTGTGAGCTACTGTCTGATCGCCTCGCCCGAAATTATCAGCAGTTAATATAAACCCTCCACATCTGGCTTTCTTAGTGTCAGTAGATTATCGCTGCCGCAACGGTGTCAGTACACACATACAAGACTTATTGTTGCCCTGAAGCGTTTTTGATACACTCATGACAGTGGTGATTATGCAGTGGATTTCTCGAAGGTGGTTGTTGTGACAATTTGCTAAAAGTTAGCCTGTAGAGATAGTTAAAAATATAAGCATATTTTATTTAGATATAAAATACTTTTAATCGATATATACCTACGAACAGAATCCCGCCGGGGTCTATCTATTTATCTGTTTTTAGGTATAACTATTAGTATATTACATTAGTTATCTTAGGAGTCATGCGCTTTTGTGTGTGTTCCCAGACATGCCTACACTCACACATACAAGCGTGGGGGTGCATACCTCCGGCAGTGGGTATGCGTGAGTATATATTTACGCATACATTCACAGTCCTCAACCCTGTCGT